TGTCCTAAACTCTGTATATATAATAATGTTGGAGTCGGGTATCTTCCCCCCTGAATCTATTTATTTCAATTAAGTAATTTATTTTAATTAAGTAATTCATACTAAACTATTGGCATTTATTTATTATTTATTTATTATTTATCTTCTGCACACTGTCATCATCACTTATTATAGATCTGTATATATACATATAGTTACACATATATATAAGCTTAACCTCGTCATGGTGCAGAGGAATCCTCCCTCATCAAACAGGATTTGACCTCCTGGTAAAGGGTCTCATGCAGGAGTTCTGGTTTGATTTGGTCAGATTTTTTACCAGGAAACCAGCTCTCCAAATGAAGGCAGCTGGACTCTCCGTCTTCAGGGATCCTGAAGACGTTTCTCCACTCGTCCTAGAAGCTCAGGGAGGCTCTTTGGTTCTTTAACTGGCCCTGTTTCTGATTGTTTAGGGTGTTGTTGCTCCCGTAAATGCGGAGAAATGAGCTGTAAATCGGACATTTTTCCCTCCGTCTTTCAGCTTTTTTGTGGTGTTTTTGTGGGATTGTGCTCTGCTGGGCGGTGGGAAAGTGTTTTACAGAATCCAAACGCAGCAGATGCTGTTTACTGCTGCTTTTAAGAGGCTTTTTCTGCGGGTTTCCTGCTCCGGAGGGTTCTCCATTCTGCTGAGTCGTCAGATTCAATCCTGAATCATCCCTCCATCATCATAACCCCTTATCCCCTAATGGGGTTTGGGGGGAGACTGGAGTCTATCCCAGTAGCCAATGGGGAGAGGCGGGGTCCCCCTGGACGGTCCCCAGTCCATCACAGGGACACACAGAGACACACAAGGACCAACAACCACACACACTCACACTAAGGGCAGTTTGGAGTCCAACAACCTAACATGCAGGTTTTTGGAGGGTGGGAGGAAGCCGGAGAACCCGGAGAGAACCCACAGACACAGGAGAACATGCAGAACCACCCAGAAAGGTCCTGGTTCCCCCGGGACTCCGACCCAGAACCCTCTGGTCCTGGTTCCCCCGGGGACTCCAACCCAGAACCCTCTGGTCCTGGTTCCCCCGGGACTCCAACCCAGAACCCTCTGGTCCTGGTTCCCCCCGGGACTCCAACCCAGAACCCTCTGAAGCTGAAGCTGACCCCCCAGGTGAAGGAGGGAGGAGCCAAGAGCAGGTTCAGGGTCCAGCTACTGAACAGAAACCAGGGAGAGGAGGAACCAGAGTCCACAAACACAGCAGAGGAGT